TGACCGGTCCTGTGTGTGTCTTTCAGAGCCGCTCCTCGCCACGCCAAAATGCACCGAACGACCAGAATCAAAATAACCGAACTAACGTGCTCTGCGGCGGGTACTTCATTGATGCAACAACCATCATAGAGTGCCTCCACTCCTGTAAGTACGACCGGGCGCTCCGCGTTGTTGCCCCGCCGCTTCCCTCCTTTCCCGGCATCCCGGGAACACACACACAAAAAAAAAATTCCACCCGAGCCGAAACCCCACGAGGTGCTCGGGACCGCCGCCCTCCTCCTCCCCGACGAGCGGGGAAGTAGGTGGTCCGACCGCGGTGCAGATTTTCTGAGGATGGCCCTTCGGTCTTTGTTAAAGTAATAATATATGTACTATAAGCGTCTCCTTTTCATGGTAATTGCTGCTGATTTGGGTATTTGTTTAGCTTTAGCAGCGTGCTGCTGACAATGGACGATTTGCTGTAGCTTGCATAGTTTAGAAAATCGCACCTCTAACTATGCATATCTGGGCGGCACCTACGAGCATCACTAAAAGCCTGTCGTGTTTGACTTACAGTCTGTAAGACCTGTATTGTGCGTTACTTGGAGACCAGCAAGTATTGTCCTATCTGTGATGTCCAAGTTCACAAAACTCGACCGCTTTTGAATATAAGGTAGGAGAAAGTTGCAAGGCGCACCCTGCATCCCTTATTTTGCTTTCTCTGGGCAGACCTGCAGTAGTCGGTAGTTATCTCTTCGTCTGCGATTTAAATCTGAAAGGACTTGTAAATTTACAAGCTAACTCCTCTGTATGCGCTCTCTTCAGAGTTTCCTCATTGATTAAACTGAAGATTTCTCTGGATGAGACACAGAAAGCTTTTGTTGGTCTTCTATTTTTTTTTTTTTTTTGCAAGCACCAGTCATTGATGACTCTTATCTCTCACCCCTTCTCACATGTACCACCCCGACAGTTCTTACCTCCCTACCTTTCTGTATCTCCCAGACGTGCTTCCCACCATCCACAGCTCCTAGTCATGAGAACTCTCGCTGCAACTTTCCAAATGCCTGTAAGGCATCATTTGCCTTTCAGAAACGTTTTTCTTGTCAGCACTGCATTTTGCTGTCTTTACCTTTTAGAGAGGACATGTAGTTTTCAAGGCCTTCCTTTAGTCTTAGTTCTTTTTCAGTTGTGGCAGCACAGATGAGTTTTGTTTCAGAGTCAGTTTGATTACAAGGTCTTGGAAGTTAACTTTATGATTGGCCTCCCACTTTGTAGAAGATGCCTCGTTGTTGTGAAAGATTATAAATGAGGAGTTGCCACTTGGATTAAAACATTGCTTCATCTGCTTAATTTTATGTTTTGGGGTTGTTCTTTTTTTCAGGTCAGATAAAACTCTCCAAGATATTGTATACAAGCTAGTACCAGGCCTTTTCAAAAGTAAGTACTTAAATCAGCTATTTTCTTAAGGGCAGAAAAACAAAACCAGAGCTGCTAACCGATATCAATACCAGGAGTTACAAAGGAAGCACTAAAAGGAAAATATATGCTTTTCCTTCTAGATGAAATGAAAAGAAGAAGGGATTTTTATGCTGCTCATCCGTCGGCTGATGGTAAAAACTTCTCGTTCCCAACTTTAATAAATGTAGCCTTGACTTAGATGTTTTACTGTTTCCTTTTTAACTTGCAAATGAAGTATTGCTGTCACAGAATTTTAAGAAGTCAGCGTAATAAAAGTTTATTGTTTTAACAGTCAGGTAGCTTTCATTCATAATCTTACTGTGAAGGTTTTTTTTTTTCTTACTGAGAATTGCCATTCTTCCTGATTTGAATTTCAAAATGTAAATTATTGTGGAAATTTCTGTGCAGCTGCCAATGGCTCTAATGAAGACAGGGGAGAAGTGGCTGACGAAGACAAAAGAATTATAACAGACGACGAGATAATAAGCTTATCCATTGAATTCTTTGACCAGAATAGGCAAGTTCCAGAATGGCAATATTTTATGTTTACCTGATTGATAGCAGCTATGTTTGTTATTTGTTGTAATTGTGTCATTTCTTCTCACAGACTGGAACGAAAAGGAAATAAGGAGAAAGAAAAATCAAAGGAAGAGGTAAATAACTTTCCTTTACTCCAGAGGAAATATATCACACACACACACACAACTTTGGGGCAGGTCTGTGGCTGAGAAAAGTGGGTAGGTATGTATATCTAGAACAAAGAAAAAGCACACCTGCTTTTATGGCGCTAGGTACAGAAGAGGTAAAACATTTTCATACAGCTGTATATGTAAACAACTTTTTAAAATACAAAAAAAATCTGCAGTATTTTAAAGCAGAACCTCTGATTATTTTTTTTACAAATTTTGGGGCAAATAATAAATTATTTATTACTTTATTGAAAATTAATATGTAATGCATATGTAAACTAAAAATGTTTAATATCATACCAATATTGATGTATAAATTTAGTTACATTTTTAAACTGCTTTCTCTAGGACTGTAATTTACCACTTATTTCTGATGTGCCTTCTAAGGCAGCAGACATTGTTATATGATAGTTCATACTTGAATAAGGTGCTTTTTTTTTTTTAACATAAAATGTTAGATACAACTTTGGTAGGACTAACTGCTTGTTCTCAGTAGACTGATTTTTTTTTACTTTGCCATCAGGTGAATGACAAAAGATACTTGCGCTGCCCAGCAGCAATGACAGTGATGCATCTAAGAAAGTTCCTGAGGAGTAAAATGGATATACCTAACACTTTCCAGGTACCTATGGGGAAAGGGTGATTTTTAAATTATTATTCTTTTCTTTTTAAATCAGTCTTGCTATTCTAAGCCTGCTAATGCTGGTTAGGACTCATTTTCTCATTGCAGCCAGTTCCAGCAAGTGCTAACTGCCAAGTATTTCTGGTGTGTGCAATGCGTGGCTGGGCTTATTTTTAAAATATCTATCTGTAGAGTTTGGTGACACTCTGTAATTTTTTTTTTTTAATGCTGTAAGTATCGAAGTATTAAAGAAATTGCTCCTTAATGTATTTAAAACATATGCAATAGATATGAAAATTCTCTACTCTGTGATCATTTTGGTATAGCATTCCCCCCCCCACCCCAGTTTTGTGATATATATATGACAGTGGGGCTGCTTTCACCTCAGAGCAGTCATGTGCTAGGGGTAAAATGCCTGGATCCACCTTAATGCAAAGATTTGTGTCTTGAACAGATCGATGTGATGTATGAAGAGGAGCCTCTGAAGGACTACTACACCCTAATGGATATTGCCTACATCTATACCTGGAGGCGGGTGAGTACCTCCAGTGTGTCTCCTCCGTGGGGGGGTGCAGGTCATGGCCTGGAGAGGGCACTCACCAGGGTCTCCCTTTTGATTTGCAGAACGGGCCTCTGCCCCTGAAATACCGGGTCCGACCTACTTGCAAGAGGATGAAGATCAGTCACCAGAGGGAAGGCTTGAATAATAGTGGGGAGCTGGAAAGTGACTCTGGGAGCGACAAGGCGAGCAGCCCAGCAGGAGGCATCCCCTCCACCTCCTCCTGTTTGCCCAGCCCCAGCACGCCAGTCCAGTCTCCTCACCCTCAGTTCCCTCACATCTCCAGCACCATGAATGGCACCAGCAGCAGCCCCAGCAGTAACCACCAGTCCTCCTTTACCAACAGAGCTCGGAAAACATCAATAAATGGCTCCTCAGCCACTTCATCTGGTTGATGTGCCAACCAGGCTACCACCCTTGCCCTTCCTTTATATAGATCTCTCCATGCCATTACAGCTTTATAGATGCTAATCCATGTGACTATCATCCAAATTGCTTTCTTTTGTAGTGACACTGAACTTGGCTAAAAAAGGCGACTAGGGACAATTCAGGATGGACGTTAATGGAAACGCAAGATTGAAATGTAAATTGTTTTCTGAGGACTGGGAAGCAAACAAAAGTTACACCTTCACCTGTTCTGAGTGATGTGGAGTTGTTTCTGTCCCCGTCATCTGGAGTCTGGAGTCTCCAGAAAGTCAATACAAATCCCGGGAAGTAGTTTGTTAATCCAGACTAACTCCTCCATTGCGTTCTCTTCGATTGTTATTGTTCTTATGCTGTTTTGTGAACCTGTAGAAAGCAAGTGCTTTTTCATCTTGAAATCCAACAAAATTGAAAGAATATGCATAGAATAATGCATATATGTAGCCATGTCACTGTGAATAACAATTTTTGCGTATTAGCCATTTTGATTCTTATGTTGCATCTTTTACTTCTCTGTTGCTGCGCAGAACCGATCAAAAGAAAAGTAAACTTCAGTTTTACAATCTGTATGCCTAAAAGCGGGTATTACCATTTTATTTACTGACTCGTTTAAATGATTCGCTTTTGTAAGAATCAGATGGCATTATGCTTATTGTACAATGCCATATTGGTATATGACATAACAGGAAACAGTATTGTATGATATATTTATAAATACTATAAAGAAAATATTGTGTTTCATGCACTCATGATATGGTTGTTAAATTTCTAAACTGGTTCGACCCTTGCAGATGCCGCCTGTTTGAGCTTTGCTCGTACTGCAAGAAACACTTGGTGTGTGAGAGCCTCAGTATTGGGAAAGCACATTCGAGTCTCTGATAACCTGGAGGCAATTGGCAATCTTAAAAGGATTTTACTGGCTTTGTCTTTTATTTTTTTTTTCCAAGTGAAATATTTTTACTTTACCAAATGTTGAAGTGATATGGCGAAGAAAAAAAGAAATTAAGGGACGTGGAAGTTTTTGACCTGTTTGATTACTTTTTTATTATTTGGTGTGGTGGGACTGTGTTTTTAAAAGCACATGGAATCGTTATAGAAGCCATAAACTATTTGGTATAAATTTTGAGGAACCAGCAAGTTGGCTGGATGAAGGCATTTTATCTAAATTTGTTTTAATATATATGTATATGGTACAGTACTAACTTCATTAAAATTTAACAGGTACTTTAATATTTCCAATAAATTGTGGAGAATGCCTTCTCTTTAATGACCTGCAAGTAGGTGCATTTTATTAGAGGCTTCTAAGGGTGGAGTTTTTTCAGTAGAAGGAACTTTTCCACCATAAAATATGAACAGCCCAGAACACTTTTCAGTTTGTGCTTTGCTTTGGTCGAACTTTGTGTGTGTTCATCACCCATCAGTTATACATTTGTGAGGGTGTTTATTCTATATGGATATTGTTTCATGTTTGTACGGAAAAATTGTAGTTAAACATTTCATTGTCTCCAGTCTGCAAAAGAAGCACAATTCTTATTGCTTTGTCTTGCTTATAGTCATTAAATCATTACTTTTGCATATAAATTGCTGTTATCTGTCCTGCTTGTTTTTATAGACCAGGTGATTGCAAATCCTCCACAAGGTTATTGCTTATTGATGTATATGTCTTGTTAAACAAGAGTTGATATTTTTTCCTGTAGTAAACATGTACAGTTCAATTTCAACAGTAAAAACTTCAGTTTTATATACACGAATAACTTTCATTTATAGCTGATCAAAGAAATAAACAAATAAAAGGGATAATTCATTGAAAAGCAGCAAATGACCTCTGTTGATAATGTGGTGTTAAAGGACAAGCATCTTCTTCTCCTGGGAAGTGTTTCTGGGCGTAGAAAAGATTTTAGTGAACAGAACAGTATAAAGTACTAAAGTAACAAAGGGGGAAAAAAACCTAGAAATGGCTGCGATTTGTTTTGATGCCTGCCTCAAAAACATTTGCTGTTCTTTATTTGACCTCGATTTATTCTTGAAAATAAGCAAATGGTGTATTCTCACGTCTCAGTTAGCCACGGATTTTACTTCCTCTTTGCTCAAACTTAGTCCTTGTTAAACTGCCCTGTCGGGGAGGGAAAGAACTTGATTTTGTGATGGCGAGAGCCACGTTCCGCCCGTGCTGCCCTGGATTGCTTTTTAAAGCCTCAGTGGAACTAAATATGTTTTAATATAAAGATACCTCTCCATGCAAAAGTCTACCTTGGCACGATTCCCTCAGCTACATGAGTGAATCCCACTGTACTGGTTGGATTATTTCACCCCAAACCGAGCACTGAACCTGCAGCAGAGGCTCGTACGGTAGCACACTGATCAAATTGCGCTTATTTGTGTTGGAAGTAGCTGATAATCACAGCACGGAACTATTCTCGATCTTTGTGGAGTGTCCGTGAAACACTCGGCAATGAAACAAGAGATGGGTATTTCCCTTCGAGGCTTACTAAGCTCTTGCAGCACTTTCGACATCTCCCAATTTGACATCTCCTGTCTGAACAAGAACAAACGCTCAGTAGCTCTCTTGCCGAGCTGCAGAAGCCGCCGAGGATGTTTGTGCTGCCATGTGAAACTTTTGTTTTGCTGCTAGCCCTGGGCAGATGGCACTGCGATGCGTATATTCTGCTAAGCACAACTGGGAGGACGATCAAAGATAGCATCTTGGTGACTTGCAAAGCTGCTATGTCAACCTTCCCGGTTTCACAATATTTTCCTTTGCGGCTACATAGCGACCGTGTTTCCTTACAAATGTACCTAAATCCTTCCTGTTTGGAAAGAAATCTCCGCTCGGTACATGTAAGAAGAATCTTTTCAATATCCGACGTAGAGTTTATAAAAATGGAGGGACAAAGCCGAAGTCTGCTGCGTTTTCCTGAGCTTGTTCAACAAGCAATCTGATCAAGGGTTGAGGCAGGGGTGGTCCGTGCCCGCTGGAAAAGGATGTTTTTCTGTCTCTGTCGAACCAAACTTTTCGTCCCGGTACAGCTGCCTGCAGCTCCAAGCTTTTGTGCCCGGCCGGAATGGGGATCCAGCCCCGAGGAAAGCGACGGAGAGGGAGCACGAAGAGCTCCACAGGCTT